ACAACAACAACAACAACAACAACAACAACAACAACAACAACAACAACAAGAAGAAGAACAATAACAAGAACAACACGAACAACAACAAGAACAAGAACAACAACAACCACAAAGACAAACATATAAACCCAAACAAAAACCAACAACAGTAACAATCAACACCAAACAACAACAAACAACAAGAAACAACAACAACAACAACAACAACAACAACAACAACAACAACAACAACAACAACAACAACAACCACAACCACAACCACAACAACAACAACAACAACAACGCACAACGCACAACGCACAACGCACAACACACAACGCACAACGCACAACGCACAACGCACAACGCACAACGCACAACGCACAACGCACAACGCGCAACGCGCACAACGCACAACGCGCACAACGCACAACGCGCACAACGCACACAACGCACAAAACGCACAAAACGCATACAACGCACAAAACGCACAAAACGCACAAAACGCACAAAACGCACAACACAACAACACACAACAACACACAACAACACACAACAACACCCCACAACACACAACAACACACAACAACACACAACAACACACAACAACACACAACAACACACAACACACACACAACAACACACAACAACGCACAACAACACACAACAACACACAACAACACACAACACACACACACAAAACACACAAAACACACAAAACACACAAAACACACACACAACACACACAACACACACAACACACACACACACACACACACACAACAACACACACAACACACAACACACACAACACACGCAACACACGCACACACACACAACACACACACACAACACACACGCACACACAACACACACAACACAACAACACAACAACACACAACACACAACAACACACACAACACACAACAACACACAACAACACACCACAACACACCACAACACACACAAGAACACACAAGAACACACAAGAACACACAACAACACCACAACAACACCACAACACACCACAACACACAACAACACACAACAACACACAACAACACACAACAACACACAACAACACACAACAACACACAACAACACACAACAACACACAACAACACACAACAACACACAACAACACACAACAACACACACACAACAACACTCAACAACACACAACAACACAACAACAACAACAACAACAACACACAACAACACACAACAACACACAACAACACACAACAACACAACAACACACAACAACACACAACAACACACAACAACACACAACAACACACAACAACACACAACAACACACAACAACACACAACAACACACAACAACACACAACAACACACAACAACACACAACAACACACAACAACACACAACAACACACAACAACACAACAACACACAACAACACACAACAACACACAACAACACACAACAACACACAACAACACACAACAACACACAACAACAACAACAACAACACCATCAACAGCAGCAGCAACAACAACAGCAACAACAACAACAACAACACCATCAGCAGCAACAGCAGCAACAACAACAGCAACAACAACAACAACAACGACAACAACAGGAACACAAACAATACCAACACCAACAACACGACCAACAACACCAACACCACCAACAAACGCAACCACACCAACAACACTAACAACACTAACAACACCAGAAACACTACCACCACCAACAACACCAACAACACCAACACCACAACCACCACCAACCCTAACCACATCGCCGAAGCCTTTCAGTGGCTTTTACCAGACTCCCCTTCATATTTTTGGAAAGAAAATGGCCGCGTCGCTTTTTCCAGAATCCGCTTTATGTTTTTTTCCCTGCCCTTTCCCCTTCATTTTTTCTTCGGTTCCTTTCTTGCTTACCTACCTTTCGTGTTCCCCCTCTCAAGTTTTCTTGGGCAAGCTGTGGTTTGTAGGTATCTCCAGTGTTGGAGGTGGCTAGAAGACGAATTCAGCAGGACTCCAGAGTGCGCGACCTCATCATGTGCTGCTAACAATGTATGATTGATTCGCAAGAAAACATGTGCTCACCCGTATGTTTTGTTTGAACAACATGGGGGGATACCAGCACAAAACTATATTTCAGCACAAAAAATACAAAACATACAAAAAATAAATCACACCAATTATGATTGACCCCTTTTTGAAACCACCCCCCAAAAAACCAACGGTCCATTTGAACTGCGGGCCGGGGCAGGACAGCCATGAGCGTTTTGCGCTGCAAGCGGAAGCCGAAAGCTTGCGACAGACTGTGGAGAAAATAGCCATGCAGGTGGGGGGTGCGTGGCTGCAGGGAAGCTGGCAAAATGGGTTCCAGTTGGTAGCCTCCGGCAGCCATTTATATATATATATTATAATTTGTATATGGATGGTTTGCGTATTGAATCATTTCCATTTGGCCATTAGTGGCTGTAATAAATTCCCAGTGTACGTGTGTGCTGAAGTCACCCCATGGTTGGTTCACCCATCTGCTGATGCAGATCCCACAGTGAGATGTTGTGAGACAGGTTGAGGACCAGCAATGCTTGCAACAGCGAACGCAGGCTTCCGCTTGGGATGATCATCATTTTTTTCCAGGTGGGGAAGGCACAAACCAACCTACTGTTTGACTTAAACGGTGATATGGGCTAAAAAGGACGATCATTATCCGATATCACATCCAGATCAACTATCCCAAGTGATGGACATGTTGTCACATATGATCCAAGTATCATTAGAATCATCCCGAAACAAAGATAGTACTCCCAAATTGATAGAACAGAGTGAACACATCCTCGAACATTTAGTCGGATAGAGTCCTATCATGGGCAAGAACTCATTTTTTGGCCAGGATCGCTTTGAAGCACTTCTGAAGCGACATGAGCAGCAATTGGAGGTGCAATCCCCAACTATTTGGGATATAAACTGGGGATCAACAAACAAAATTGACCAACAAAAATTAAGATTTCACGACGGTATAAAGCCAACCGGCTTATTTTGCTGGGGGGGCGTCGGGAAACGTAGTAGGAAATACGGGATGATTTGCAAATGGATGATTTAGATACCCCAAATTTCCGCTATGTGCGTGGGTTTAGAACCCAGCAATTTATGGTAAAAATGGGGATTTAATTGGGATTCAATTTTGAGGGGATCGGGACTTAACTATCAACAATTGGACATAGGTGGGTACTCAACGAACCAATGTAGAAGATCAAACGGGGATAGATACAGTTACCGATTTTGCTTGGTGAAATGATGATGACAAGATGATCGGGGCTTCTATGAAAATTGGGTTGCTTTACGGTACCCACAAAATATGGCAAACTTATGCAAACTTATTGTGGAATATGAGCCTTAAAACCATTGGATGGAATGGGTCTCCAGACTTTGGTTTGCAACATTATTTTTGGTTTCAAGTTGCAGTTACAGTTGAGATAGGATGATTTCATGGCTCTTGACAATGCGACTTGTCGTGCAAAACATTACTTGGAAGGTTGGACGTGACATGATGTGACCAGTGACCCTTGGCGTTGCAACCGCAGCAACCGCAGCAACCGCAGCAACCGCAGCAACCGCAGCAACCGTGAGGCGTTCAGAAGTGAGGTCACAGCGCTCAAAAGGCAACGTTCGGATGTCGAGGTGGAGCCGGTGGAGCCGGTGGAGCCGGTGGAGCCGCATATGCCAGTCCTGCTATGAATCGTATGTGTAAGTTAATCAAGTTCAGGTCCATTCAGGTCCATTTCTGTATGTGTAAGCACATGTCAGCTAAGATATCCCAAGATTGCCAAACTGATCCTAACTGTAAGTCTAGTAAGTCTTACTGTAAGGATCCTTTGCAGTTGACTTTGGAGCCACGTTGCAATCAACAGCGCGGCCAGGTGAAACGTCGACAGCTGGACACTGAGGTGCAGTAAAGTCTAACCAATGTGGATTTCTGGGGTACTGGTTGTAACGGTTGTACTCCGTTACACTACTTTCATCTACCTTGTTGATTGGGGACTTACGGGGAGCTCAACATAGTTGAATGATTCAGTTTAATGATGCTTGATGACTCATGAAATGGGAATCCCTCCTGAATTGGTTGCAGAAGGAGTGTTCACAAAAACCATGAAGTCCAGGTCTCTACACACAGGAATCCAATGGAAACCATTTGAACTGGAACATGCATTTACATCGCTGCTTGAGAGCATGCAGAAATATCTGAAGCGTTGGATCAAGAGGAAGGCTGCTGTATGTGCAGAGTGTAAGAATGCCCTCACCGAACATGCTTGCAGACTCCTTGCAGAGTGCGGAACAACCAGGTCCTCTTGTCCTCAAAACCATGATTTTGCAGTCAAGATACCAGCAACCAAGACCACCTTGCGAATTTAAGAGCAAGGATTGTAGATGACTGTAGTGCCTAACTTTCTTGGCAGGGCCACTACAAATATGATGAAAAAAGATTTGTTGTCAACAACCGGTAGAAGCGAACGATCGGAAAACCTCACAGCAACTCCACTGCTTGATCGTGCCCATGTCGGGTGAGGAGAAACGTTGGTTGATGTTGGTTGAGTCATTGCATCAGAATGGAAGTTTTCCTCAGGCGGTTGGCAATCATCTTTCAGTGGGATAATCCCACTTCAACTTTGAAAAACTTCGTTTCCAGGCGAATTTGTATCGAAGTGACTGGACCAGCAAAATTTCCATTATGCGAAAGCAAAGTCAGAAACAATGGCCCAGTTCCAATGGAGATCCCGCCATTCTTGATCCAACAATACTTCTCGTACACATACTACCTGCGTATGGACCATTCGTTTCGTTCGTTTCGTTATCCCTCAAGTTCCTAGGAGCTAGCGCGGCGTGAGGGTCTCCCTCGTGGCCGGCTGCAGATTTTAGTGCTGCATGGAAGGTGGGGGCTTCTGCAGTGGGTGAGGTCTCCAGTGGCAAAGTCACTTTCCAAAACTCGGAGGAATGGGGTTGCTGCAGATGCCTTGGTTTCGGTGTTGTTTCACCAGAGGCAGTCGAATGCGAACTTATCCAACTTTCAGACGCTGGGCTGAAGGGTTACGCGAATGGGGGTTGCAGCTGCTGGAGATTTTCAAGAAAGTGCTGAGTTGCCAAAAAGCAGTTCCAACAAGAGTATGTGCCTGTTAACAGTTAACAGTAATTCACAAGCAATGTGAACTTTTCGACTTGCCCTTGGGAAACTGACATGATAGAACTCCTTTGCCGGCAAACGTGAGCACATGTTTCATTTTGAAAATGCATGAAAGTGCAAAGTTCCGGTTTGGGAAGAGATTCTGAACCAGATCCAGCAATCTGGTAGTTGAAGGGGTTGTTGGCGCGGCTTCACTCAAGGATCAGTGGCTTAAAAACAGCATTTGGCAAGGAGAGCTTGGGCTGCAGAAATAGACAGCTGCAGGGATGCTGGTGTTGGGTTGTGTGTACGCACGATTTCCGCAGGTCACATTAGATAAAGTCATACTGCTGTACATGGATAGCCAGGATAGCCCTTATTCACAGACCATGATAAAAGGTTGCAATATTGAACAATGTATTTGCAAAAACAATCCATGATTCACTGCAATTCTCTCATAAGCTGCAGTTTGGCATAGTTTGGCACCTAATCCCTTCTTGTTTGACTGTTTGTCGTGATCCTTCTGGCAGGACACTGATTTCGATTTCTTAGAGGGCGATGTTATTTGGAATTATCGGTGGCTTTGGATGCATTTGAATCCTGTTGGATGATGATGATGACTTCGCGGTTCTTTGCGTGTCAGATCCCACTTGCTGCCCATGGAGGCCCGGCGTGGATTTGCACGATGCTGATGACATGTCCGTGAGTTTGTCCAAAGGCAAAGACTTCAAGGCTGCCTGGCCATTTCACCATTTCAGCTAGATTTATGATGATTTATGCACCTTTGGTGATGAAGTGCTGTCGCGGAAACACGCAGAAACCCCTCAGCAACCCTCAGCAACCAATTTGTTGCTGAGACTTCTGGATTTTGAATGATTTTGTTTACTTTATGCCGGCTTGATGCTTGATAACACATCTGAGGTTTGGTTTATGCACACGACGGATTGCAAGCGTGTGCCTCGTTCTGCACAGGGTGGTCAACAGCTGGCCAAAACCATCCCCAATCAGTGGGAGGTGGCTCATACCGGCTGCAGGGCTTGGCCCCCAATTAAGATCAAGACACATCAAGACACATTCTCATTGCAGTTCTCACTGGTTCTGCACAACCCATTTTTTTCAATTCAATAGCCCAATGACAACCGGGGTCCTGAAGTGATGAATGGGGTGAAAGCAGACAAGTTTTTATTTGGGAGCAGGGCCTTGTCGCAAAATCATCCCCGTTTCTGTTGCGCCAATATGCCATCAATATTGCTTGACCTTCCAAAAAGGTCGTGTGTGTAATTCTAATGTGGTAAAGCCAATCATTTGACAATAGTATTGCATGATATTATATTGCAGATTGCATGTTTTTTCCTGGGGGTTGGAGCCATGCCCAAGTGGAGTTTAGTCCTGGGCTTTACCGCAAGGATCGCCCAGATCTCTTTAAGCAGCAAGATCCAGGCAAAGGGTAGGGCCGTTGGGGAAACCGTTGATGTTTGAATCGGAACATGTGGGGAATCGGTACACCTTATTTTCAGGCCCATATGAGCATGTCCCTGCTACAAGAATGAACTAATGATAGAATGGACTGGAAAACCAAGCAATGAGGAACCGTGCCATTTTTGGGATCCCTTGTCGAAGGATTTGGACAGCTGGACCTCAGATGCTGCAGCCAAGTTCTTATCGCCATTGAATCCTGCTTACCCAAATCGTTCGTTTCTCATATCGCAAGTGCCGCAAGAGTTTATTTCATCCAAAAACTCCAAGTCTTGGAACGTGTTCGCCAGCACTAATCGTTTACTATTTCCAGGATCTCCCCTATGTTCCATCCCAAGATTGACGTTTCTGGATTTCCCGACCTATACACGTATATATATATACACATATATATATATATTATGTATATATAGATCCGTGTTTGACTGTAGTGACTTTGGAACGTAAGGAGAATATTTCTATAGGCTTGTGCCTGATCTTTGGGATGCTGATAGCATCTGTGGCTCAAATTGAGCCTTGCCCAGCCAAGGGCTGGAGTCTTCACCTGGCCCGGCCAGAGGTAGGTGAGTGCCCGGGTCTGGCCGGAGAAAAGGGCAGATGCCCAAAAAGTGGGTCGGTGGCAAGGGCTCTTTAGCCTGCCCCGGCCGTGGGCAATACATCGAGGCCCACGTCTACGATGATGGAGGACAACCCCAGGGAACCGTTTTCCTGGAGGTGAAGACTCTGTATGGGACTGGTGGATCCGGAAGGTCCATACTGTGCAACTACATAACAGCTGCAGACCCGTACTACCGATACTGGGTTGGAACAGAAGATGGAGTCAGTACTACGGTAGATGGGACTTACCACTTATGCCGTGGTGACCCGACCACGTGTCAAGGAGGGCCTGGCTCAGCTCAAGTAGTTCACCTTGGGACTTGGCGTGTTTGGTCCGAGGCTGAGCTAGTGGGCGGCAAGGCCGACCATTTGGAGTCAGCAGCTCAAGACGAGCTCCTCAAGTACTTCAAGGTTGGTGGCAAAGAACCAAGGTCGTCGCAAGGAGGTGGACTGCCTTGGGAAGAAAGGCAGCTTCGCGTGGCGCCGGCAGAAGAGAGGAAAGAAAGGACGAAAGCGAAGCCGGCAGAAGCCGCGAAGGAGGATGAGAAGAAACTGGTGAGAATCGCCCGACTCCAAAAGGAGTTGGAGGCCTTAAAGGCATCGGTTGGAGCTGACGAGGATGATGGAGATAAGCCGAGGGGCAGAAAGAAAACCAAACGGCAGAGTGGAGACAAAGGCCCTGATGGGCCAAAGAAGGCCTTCCGAAAGGCAGAGCTGCGTGAGGTGCCCCGCAAGGGTGATGACGGAGAGGACGAGAGTTCCTCCTATCGGAGTGAGGACAAAGAGGATGAAGATGAAGAGGCCGAGAAGCGAGATGAGAGAAAGGCCTTAAGGAATATCAGAGATAAAGGGCAGCGTGCAGCCCGGCGGCATCGCAGAGAGGAAGGTGAGCGCCGGGACAGATCCCGTGACAGAAACAAGAGGAAAGACAAGACCAAAGGAAAGAAGAAAAAACTCAAAGGCAAGGATCGAGGACCCTTCGGGGTTGCACCTTCGGAAGATTGGGACGCAAGAGGAGGTGGGAGAGAAGATACCTCGGAGGAACCGTCCGATTCTTCTGGAGAGTCGTTTTTTCAGAAGGCCCCCTCCTCGAAGTCTCACCACCTCCGGTTGGTGAGACACGCGAAGAGGTACCCAGGGAGGTTAGCGGCCCGGCTGCTGAAGCGCATGGAAAGCGCGACCGGGTTCGGGGGGGGGGCCGAGACGAAACCTCAACAGCAAAAGGGACGGCTGCAGGCGGCGGCTCACATGTACTTCCTGGCCATCATGACAGCCTTGCCCTGACCCGTAAAAGAAGGGCATCTGTGCCTATATATATATATATCGTATACATATATACATATATTACCAGATCTATTCTCAGGGGGCCAGTTGCAGGTGTTTCAAAAAAACCAGTTGGATGATGCTGTTTTCGTGCGGTTATACTATATTTGATCTATCCTTGATAACTCTAGAATTACTGTATTATGTTATCGATGAACTGGACCTCCCCGAAAACCCACTTTAGGGATTTTTTGCAGATCATTCATATCTAGATTTTCCATCTCTGACAGCCACAACTGCAAAAAGCAGATTTAAGATTGCCACGAAGAACAACCATCATTTTTGGACATTTTCCAACAGGTTTTGGACCCAGTTGCAGATGGATCTTATATGAATCATCTCACTATACCCTCTGGTAATTTAACATAGCTATTGAAAATGGCCATTGAAATAGTGGATTTTCCCATTGAAAATGGTGATTTTCCATAGCAAACTGTTAGTTTACCAGAGGGTAATCCCACCATAGCTCCAGGTTTTAGACAACCGCAGGTGTTTGTGTCTCCTATGAGGGCGTCGACGATGCAGTGGATGCGCTGCTGCAGAGGGTGACTGAATCGCCGGTGGATGCAGTGCTCTGGCAGCCGAAAGGCCGTCGTAGGATGGGTCACTTAATCCTTGGATGGATGGATGATTTTATGGCGATTCAACCATTATTTATAGGACTGATGGGGTTTTAAGACTTACAAAATTGTTAGGATATCATTGTTCAGTCACAGCTGATTGATGAATATATGGGCTTATACTATCCGAGTTTGTGGGGGCTCTCACAATTCATGAAGCGGAAAATCCCAAAAACATCAAACAACCAGTCCATCCTCGGTCAAGGTCATTGGCCTCTTTGAGGGGTGCATTGTGACTTGGCAGTACTGAGGGCGATGAAGAAACACCAAAACAGGTTTTCCGCAAGAGAGGTTTGTGCGAAAATGGGGGATACCCACCAAACGTATGATAAACCATTTAGCTTAACATTGCAATTTGAATCGTTATTGGGATCACTAGATGGACTCTCATCATCCCAAGCCACCAACCCTCAAATCATCACTTGAAGAATTTTCCCATTGCAAAAAAACACAGACAGACACCTTAGTTCCATTAAATTCCTAGGTTAATCCATGGTTAATCCATGGTTCCTCAGATGTGTTTTGAATTTTGCCCCCAGAGGTGGTGCACCTTGCTGCCGCACGGCTGCTGCAGCAGGGGACTGAGCTGCCATGGCCCTGCAGTGTGTTCTTTGGAGATCTGCCCATTCGCGATGCCCGGAGACCAAGTCATACCAGGTCCTATCAGGGGACCTGGGTTGGGGACCTGGGTTGGGGACCTGGGTTGCTGTAGAAATTGGGGATTGCGGCACAAGAAACAGGGGAACTTGGCCGCCATCTTGTGGCCATTTTGGGGTCTGGCACGGAACCGGATGCCTTGGCAACTTGGCAGGATAGCTGGGCGGCGCCATTCTCCAAGGGTGCCAAGGTTGGGAGGATGAGCAAGTGGAAACCTGCCAATGAGATAGTGAAGAAACTGGAGACTCGTAACTTTCGGTCATCAACCAAATTGTGCAGAAGCTTGTAACAAGTTTAGAAACTTGAGGTAGCCAGACGACAGATAGCTGCGAATATGTAACTTTGCGCTTTTTGCGTATGTACAATGCGGGAAGTCTGTTGCAAAACAGGTCAGCGCAATTCGCTTTGTGCAATTTTACTTTGCAGAAGTTTGCTAGGTTTGGACGTAGTTATTGCAAGAGTATGCAAAAGTGGTGTTTGCAACCAGAGTCCTGTTGAATTTCAAATGGCTCATCTCTTGAGTGTGCCTGAAAATAGGGTCTTCCTAAATCCGGCTTATCGTCATCATCCCATTTAAGTCTGCAATTTTACTGGTAAACCCGGTAAACCCCACCCCATTTTGATCTCCTCCCATGATATGTGGCACACCTGCCACCTGATTTCTTGGTACTGCCAGGCCAAACACCCCAGCATCCACATCTTTGGTCGCTACGATGAGTACTACCACTATGGTCGCAGGCATCACACTTTCGCTATCCATCTTCTGGGGATGGATCAAAATTCGTGGACCCCAAAATTTGTGGACCCCAAAATGCTGGCCCATTTTACGAAACCACCTGTCTCTTGGTGCTCCATTTTTGACCCAAGCTGGAATTCCTGGGAGTTGCATGGCCGGATGCCAATGCCCCAGGGCGGCTGGACGAATTGCTCCTGAAGACTACTATGAGGCTCACAATGTTGGGAGAAACCGTAAGAGATGGCCTTACGTCTAGAATATTCAAGAATCGTTTCTTGTGAATTCTCCAGAAAAAATCACTAAAACTTGGCTCAGAAATGACCATAAAGCTGCAGCCAGGTTTTCCAAGATCGCTGCATGCCTTAAGAGCGCTCTTGCCAGATGGCAAGTGAAAGTGAAGAACACATTGCGGATATTGCAGGGACACCCCAATCTTGGTATCATATGCATGGTATCACTGGTCTTCTCAGCCTTCATTTTTGGACGTAGTCATTCCACATTCGGAGGCTTCTCTGGTGCTGGAACACGACGAGGGCCATCGCTTGCCGCAGCTGCAGCCGCGAGCAGGACTTGTGTGCAGCGGAACTCTTAAGCCTAGGGCCTAGGGTCCAAGTTCCAAGACTTAGATCAACACCATTTCATCATATTTCATCATATTTCATCAAGTTTTGCAAAGCAGCTGCTTTTTTTGGTTGATATCTCATGTTCATTCATTTTCGTGGTGGATATGACCAGCTTTTGGTGGGCCAAAAGGAGAATTGTATGCACGGGTAGCGCGGGAAGTGCGGCTCTGTTGCGGCCGCCCGGTGAAAGGTGTGGCTCTGCTGGACCTTGAAGTGATCTGAGGAATGTTCTCAACGACCATGGCCCAGTTGTTTTGGGGTTCGGGAAAATTATACCTTTAAATTATATTATATAAGTTCATAAGATCGTGATAAAGTCGAAGTATACACAAAACATATTTTATTTGTGTGTATTTGTTTCCAAATTTCTACTAGAACATCATGATCAATTCGAAGTATAGACAGAACCTATGGTATTTGTTTCTCAAACCGTCCAAATAAAAAAGACATGATGATCATGATGGTGGATATACTACCATGCCTTGCAATATTTGGGATGGGTCAAAAGGATTGAGCCCCCAACATAGATTGTCTCATATAAAACATGACGGGCAATTCGTAGGTCCACTGATATGCTAACGACTTGTTCCACACCCTTGCACCCCCACGTATTGTTGGTTATATTAAGTTATATTCACATTATTTCCCATGCAATTCCCATAAAACAAATGCCCGTATTGTTAGTTTCATCCCCTACTAAAATCGGTTTCACTCTTGGCGTCATACCCATTGTCCCCGAATTGGCTTAACATTCAAAGGACACCCACATATTATCCAATACTATTTGGTTGGCAAATCTATGGTTTATGGTTTCCTCAGTTTCCTCGAAAAATTCCCTTACACCAAATTTTGGATTTCCGGCTCTGCGCATGTTGCAGATGGCTTCAACGAGCTGCACACCTGGCGCAAGGCGCTGCGGCCTCCCAAGCCGTTGGCACCCCCCTTGTTGGAGATGGAGATGTGTGGAGACACAGCCGTGACTTGAGCAGGTTCCCAGCTGTTTCTGTGATGAATGAAACAAGTCTGTGCGATTCGACTCTTTGAAGGGAAGTTTGAATCAAATGGCTGAATAATTGACTCCTGAGACTCAGTCATTTGGAGTTGGCTGCGTATTCGGTGGCTAGCTGCAATGGTTGGTGAAGCAACTATCGTCCATATCATTGAGGATGATGCCACGGAAGCTGCGGGTGTTGGCGCTCACTGGAGGCTTGGGGGGAGGACTTTTGGCCTTGAGATGACCCAGGATGACCCGGGATGACGGAGCTCAATGAAGTCAGTACCAGTGTGACTTGAAACGTTTGAAACATAGGATCCTTTTTCGGATCCCCATCCCCATCCCCATCCCCATCCATGTTACCCTCTGGTAATTTAACATAGCTATGGAAAATCACAATTTTTAATGGGAAAATCCACTATAAATGGCCATTTTCAATAGCTATGTTAGTTTACCAGAGGGTATCAGTTATCAGCCCGTTGGCCTTCCCGGCAGCCCCTGGCAGGTCACAGCTGCACCGAGGTGCTGAAATATCAGAGTGCCCCACTCCGTCAGGCCATTGGCCGAGACCTCTGCGTCCGGAGACCCAGCTGCGATCTGGTCGTCTGGGCAGCTGGGCAGCTGGGTGGCATGATCCGCCTTGGGAAATTCCAGAGGTGCCGCTGGGTTGTGGAAAAATGGGGAATACCGCTCAAAGTAGCAATACTAAAAGGGAACATCATTGGAACATGATTCTAACATGATGGACATGTTCAACATTTCGTGAATTTTGCGCTTTCACATTTTACGGGTACCAAACCCACATTTTGCAACTTTTCTCGGCCTGAGGAGTTCACCTTCATTGAAGGCACTGAGGACTGGAACTGGTGGCGGGCTCAAGGGGCTCTCGACTTGAGATCACACTAAGTCACCGGAAACAATCTGGAAACTGCATGATGTGAGAGTTGCTTCAACCTCAAGATCTATGACTCTATGATGCATGATCTAGATCTATAGATATCTATAGTCTATGCATATCTGTGCTGTCTGTAGATATGACATACGCATGCTACACACATAGATTATTCAATCAGGATGGGACACCACTCGCTCCACCGTTCTGAGGTTTGAGGGGGAACCCATCGTCAGCGACATGGAAAAGAAGTTGGCCAAAGGCGGTTGAGTGGAAGTTGGACCCAACATGGGGCATGGGGTATCAATTTTGGATAAACCAATGGCATACCCAGTTACCATTAAATATGATAATTGTATGTTACTAAGTTTACCATCATGGTTCAAGGCATGACATCTTCATTTTTTGGATACACAACCAGTTGATGATGCCTAATTTTGATCATCCTTGACCCAAGGCTGATTCTGGGGTTTGATTTATTGCTGTTCCAACTTCAGATCTGAGAATTGGATTGAGTTGGCACTGAGTCTTTCCTTCAAATACTTGTATAAATTAGACAGACGTTTCAGGCTCCCAATCGCCGCGAGCCTGCAGGTGCGCAACTGAAGAATTGGTACATGGACACCATCACGGAGGCGAGAAAGGGGGGTTAACAACTGCTAGCATCAAGGATCCCTGAGGATTTTGTTTTTGAACAAAGGGGGATAACAACCAAAGAATTTTAGGAGTTTCATTCAGTTTTGAAAGGGAGGCTTGCAGCATTGCCTTTGTGCAGGAAGGGACAGCATTCAATAATGGGTTGAAAAGATTGGGGACATCAATACGTAGTTTTACAGAAAAAAAAATCAGTGCTGCAATGCAGAAGATCAACAAGGGACCACTACTGATGCCCTTGGCTCTTTCTCACTGCACTCATCGTGGCAAGGGACACACCAGTCGATCTTAGACCTTGTTTGAATTCTGACAGGAGACGCCCACAGACAAACCCAACCGTGAGAAGCAGTTTGACCCCAAGTCTCGTGGGGGCCTCAGAGTCAATCCGCGGTGCCCAAACGATTTGGCCCAAAATCGCTATGCGTTGCAAGGTCAACGGTTTTTCATCTTCTGTAGCTTGGAGCCCATGGTTTTCCGGTAAGCAGGCTTTCAAGAAGAATCCTGACATTTTATTTCGAAAGATTAATCTACAGTAGTGGTGGTAGTGGCACGCATCCTTGGAAAACGGCAAAAGAAAAGGATGACACTGTTCAGGGGACAGAAATTCATGTTGTGCTTCTGGCTTTAGTATTTCTGTGGTTTGATCTTCGAGTTTCAAAGTCCATCAACCCCAAAGAGGTTTGCAGAAGCAATTCTCCCTGAGCCCTTGTCATTCTGAGGCGTTGAGCCCCTCAGCTGCAGTGGGGGAGTACTGTGTGAAAGTTTGGGTTGGCTCTTGACCGTTTTGTGTTCAGGGAATGACTTAAGTCAGACTCCAAGTCCAAGTCCAAGAAAAGCATCCATCCATCTATTCTCATCATTTCTCATCATTCTTGTGAGATGCAAGCAACAAGCAAGGCATCAGAAGCAAAAAACAGGAAAGGCATCAGAGTATCATGGGGAATTCTCCATGCCAAGCGGATGGTGATTTCTCCACCGTGCCACCGCATGCGATCGCATGCGTGGCATAGCGGCATAGCGTAGCGAGGTATCACAAGATCCCCGAGAAGGTGCAAAAACTGAAGGAGTTGATCTTCGACGAAGGTCCCTTTGATGTCTTGGTAGCCTTCTCCCAGGCCGGCCCATGGCTTGGATGCTGTGATGAACTTTGGGAGTTTTTTGTTTGTTTTTTTTGGCAGAAAAGACAATGGGAACCACAACGTTGATGATTTTTGTGGGTAGATTGGAAGTCAGTGAAGTCAGAGTTGCAGCTTGTCTTTGTCGCACTTCTGGTCGTTCTGGAGTCCAACATTTTGTCCAAATTGGTGGTTTGTGGAGGGATTCTGATGCTGGAAAGGACGAATTTCTGATCGATTGGAAAGTGAACCAAGCTTGCAACTCGCATGTTCAATCCTGAGTTTGACAGTCCTTTTCCTATTTTTTGTGGCTACTTCTCGTCATCCCCAAAGATATCAGGCGCTCTTGACACAGTTCGTTTTTCTCCTTTGCGACGATGAATTAGTTGGCCCCCGTTCGATGCCAGGGCTGCATCATGACGCATCTCTTGATTGGGCACTTGCGGAAGGAGGAGCCTGCGACGCAGGCCGGCCATTGAGCCACTGAAGAACACAAGGGTTTCGACCAACCCCAAGTAGATGTCGTAGATGCATACGGATCCATACATCGATGTATTATATAACTCTATAGTTCATAACTGCCATATATTGTCTGGGATCTAAGCCATGCAATTACTGTCTATTCCAACAGAAATTGGGTACTGTCAACATTAACATGATTTGGACATATTTGGACCGTGCTTCCCAGGCAGCTTCCAAGCGCTGGCACTTCACGCGGAATCAGCCTGAAGAGATGCCATGGCGCGTGAGTGTGACTGGACATTGGTATGTTTTTTTAAACATGTAAAACATCATTGGGGAAAACACTAAGTTTTTTTTGATGCCCATGATGCCCCATGTTATGGGCCATAATGCTGTTTTTCAATGGGGGTTTACACCGATGCCGGGATACAGTATCCTATTTGCCAAGAGGAATTGACCTTTTGAATCTGGCCCGGGGGGCCGAACTACGCCGGTGATCTTCCTGTTAGGAATACCCACACTTGGGTTCTATCTAAAATCTCTAAGATCTCCTAAGTTTCGGGGGTCGAAATATGTCGAAATTATCAGTGCCCAGTGCCATAAGGGTCCTCCATGATTTGAGCCACTCCTGAGGTCTTTTTCAATGGCATGCATATCCGAGACAAGGACTTTGCCTCGTGCTCTGCAAACAGCGTTTGACATGTTTGATATGGGCCATGGTTCAAAATCAATCGAAGATCTACTGACTAGTCATTTGGCTTTGTCTCAAAATTGGATACCTACACCAACACTTAATTCCCTAGCACCATTTCCTCATTTTTCAATTTCCGTAAAATGGGCCCTGCCCCCATTTTTGAGACAAACCCAAGGTTTGGTGCCTCTTCAACAGGCCCCTGGCTTTGAAATGCTCTGACTGCAGGATTACATGGATCTCTTCGATACTCCTTCGCCACATCCCACGGTGCCTCGGAGAAATCGGCCACTGGGAGAGGCGGCACCAGTCACTCGACTGGGGTTTCTGGTCAAAAGCAATCGAGGTGCACGTCTTTGGCAAGGCGGACGAGTTCTATGACTATGGCCGGGATGGCTTTGGCTACAAGCCTCAAGAGGAGGGATGCAGAGAAAGAACGGGCCACAAACGATCTTTTTCTTTTGGTCCATTGGTAAAACATGTTTATATAAACTAAATATCATGATCCCTCAACACCTTGTGATCAACTGAAGATTTTTTTTCCAAACTTGGTCCCGTTTCAAATTGGTCAAGGATGAATAGCCTCGAATGTATGAAATTTTGTGCAGCATGTGTTTCATGGAAGAGTTTCTATACCCGTGGCAAGATTGAGTCTAGAGACGCTTCCGTGTTCCTTGTGCACTGCACTGACTCCAAGCCCAATCCACAAAGCAACCTCCGAAGTCGTCAAAGCATCTCTTTATCGTCTCTTGGATCTCTTGGCTGCAGGAGTACTATGTGGATCCCGTCATCTTTAGCCATAGCGAGGGGCATGCCTTTCCAACCCAACCACCACGCGCGCGGGAGATCTACGACCGCGTTGCTGCGGAGATATGGAGGCAAAAAGAGTGAGACAAGATCTTAATGTCCTCTAAGTTTTGAATTTAGAACACACCATAAAGTCAAATAAATCAAACTACATTGACATCATTGACAGATGAAAACAATTTCTTCCCGGTGCGCTTCCAGCCCGCACACTCGCAGGCATTGTGGCGGACGTCCACCTGCCTGAGCGGATTCTGGAGTCCCTGGCCGTGCCACGGACACGTGAAGCAAAAAAGGGTGGCGGCTGCGACTGGTGCCCGGGACCCAGCCAGGAAAACACCAACCACCCCCCACAATGGATCACAATACCAAGGAGTGCAGCCTGAAGGGTACGGGTGTGCAGGGGAAGTTTTTGGGAATTTCTTTCGAGAATCTTCATTGTCTTGAGGGGATTCTTTCTCCCAAGTGCCCCTCAAAACCCATGGTTCTCTGTTGCTCACCCCCAAATAATCCAAAATAGCTGGTACTGCTTATCCAGACGTTTTGATCCATCCAGAGCATCCCCATTTTTTTTGAGTGGAATTCCCAGCACCCACGCGGGCAGGCGCTTGCTGCTGAACGGCTTTGGAAAGCCGAGTTGCAACAGTTGGAGGTGGGCCGGACCACCTTTATGTTTTGTTGTTTTTGGCCATATAATAGCTATGAAAATGCATGAAGTTCACGATGGCCCTTAGGCCCTTTCTTTCACTGGGGTATGTACTGCTTTCTGTTTTTGCAGAGGCCCAACTCCCCATTTTGGGGCTGTTGTCCAGGAAGAGCGCTGGAGTCTGGAGAAGCAGTTGGAAAATTTGGAAGAACAGATGTCCTCCTTGGCTGCTCCCCGGCAGCGGGCACAGGACAGGGTGGGGCCCCATATGGCCCCATGATCCCAAGCCACAGAATGTGGGATTGAAACCATCAGGAGGGAGGGGCTTCAACGGTTGAACCGTGAGATCAACAGCCTGGAGCACCGCTAGCCCTGATCAGCCAGATAGACATAGGAACTCTTCTAAAAGAGGTTCCCTGCGTGAATCCCATGCATGAAATTTGAATTTTGTTCTTTATATCCCCAGCTGGTCAACAAAATCTTGACCCATTCTGCCAGGACCGATGTGTTGAGTTGACAGAGAAGTTGGAACTGCTGCAACCAGACCTTCAAAAGAAGGACCTTTCGGGCTGTTTTGAGGCAGCTTGTGAGGAATTTGGTGGTGATTTCTTCCATTTCTATCCATTTCTTGGATGATCGGATTCTTTCAGGTGATTCTTGTCCAGCTGGAGGTGTTCGCACCTGCCAATGGTCAAAGCCGACCTCCCCATTCAATCCCCATTCAACCCCGTCATCAGGGGGTGCATCCTTTTGCAACTGGCATTTTTTCAGGAGACCTTGCGGCAGACCAACTTACGTATAGAGGGTGAGATCGAAGACCTTGAGAGGGAGCGGCGCTAGAGGGCATTGGTTCCTTTGGGTTCCGGATGGGGCATGAATCATGAACCATTGGGTGGATGACCATGAAATTTCAAGGGATCCGCTATGTTGGATACATTCACCTTAAGCATCATGGAGAACTTCCAGAATCAAGAGACTTTACACAAACTTTGAATTACGAAAGCCACCACGGCTGAACCCTTAAAGCTTGGACCTCATGATCATGTACAGCTTGTACATCTTGAATCTATAAAGACCCAAGGCAACTAGTCCTGCCACCTCCCAGCTCCCAACAGCACAAAGTACGGCATTCTGATTCTCTATTTGTTTCCAAGGCAGTTCACTTGAAATCTGCTCCATCAACTTCCCATCCACTCTGCAGATCTCTGCCTGGATGATATATTCCTATGCCCTGGTTCCCCAGTCTGCATTCTGTGGGGTGCAGGAGATCGCGTCCTGCCCCAAGGAAGCGTTTTTTTGCGGTACCGTGGGATGTGGGGCTTGGCTCGGCTGTTGATGAACCCTCCAGAGCTTGGACATGCCCCAATCTGTGGCCTGTGACCCCGAGCCGCTGTGCATTTCACGTGCTGTGCTCACTGAGGCAGCTTGAGAAACGAAAGAAGCGACCCAGCCGGATGTCCTGAGCCCCAGCTTTAGGGGCTGAAGCTTGATCCAGTCGGCATGTCCGTGCAGTCGGCATGTCCGTGTAGAAAGGCCGTGTAGAAAGGGCCCGAGTCCAAAGCCATGACAGTTTCTCTGAACAGTCATTAACTTTCCCAATGGATTGATTAGATTGATTTAGGAGAAAATTAAGAAGACACTGCATTTTCTTTTCACCAAAGATAGGGTTTTCCAGTTTTCCAGCACACTTTGGAAAGACATAGCTGCCCCTTCTCAGAAGCAGCCCGTGGCACTCCGCCCAGTGGGATGAACGCAAAGCAGCACAAGAAGTCAACCCTGCGCTGAGGTGCATCTCGGGAGAACCCTCCAAAATGATCCAACATGCAGATATGACTCATATGACATGATAAATGACATGATAAATGACATGATATGACATGATATTTAACTTCCATTCACTTCCCATTTTGGAGATGAATCTAAAACTCGTCTACTAAAACTATCTAAAACTATCTAAGTGAATCCCCTCATCTTGGTGGCTGGTTGGGATAGGTCTTTAGACTGATCCCAAGTGGATCGTTCCGTGTAGGTCGACTTCTCGAGGAGCGAGGGATTCAGACTTCCCACCCTTCAGTGAAATCTCCAAGTCCTGATTTTCGTTTGGTTGATGAATCTTGATGAATCTTGAATGGTTTAGCATTCCTTCATTTTCGCCATCTTCAGTTTGCGCAGCTTCCAGGTCATGAGGTTTGACGCCTTCCCAAGGAAGTCGTCCCCTGAATCTGGGATGTTTGGCCCAAGGCTCGAGGCTAGCGCACTGCCAAAGATCAGTAGCAGTAGCTGCCGCTTTTTTAGAATCTCAGACCATCTCAGACCTTAATTTGCAGGGAGAAAAATGAAGCTGTGACACTACGATTGCGACAGGATTCGCGAGGTTCATCGTCCACTTCCTACAAACCACAGGGAACCAGGGAAATGAAAGGACCCATGGAAACCCATTTTGTTGACCATCATTGCCTCATTGCTCATTGGAATGCTTGAACTTTGTTGCTGGCTCAGCTTTATTCGGATCATGGAAGCCCCAGGTTTGTTTGGGCAGCACATTGGGGGGTGCCATATCAAGTGCTTCACAAGCGCCCGTGCGCATTTTGTCAACTTGACAACTCATTTTTCTCTATATCATTGTATTTCAAGCACTATTCTGCAATTTATCAAACTCCTAATCTATTCAAACTCTAACAGTGACTTATTTTCGCTTGCACTAGCGAAGCTTTTCACGGTCCCTAACCCTTGTCTCTTGGATCCATAGCCTCTGGCAATGAGGGAAGCCTTGCGCAGAGCCGCTAGCAACCGCTGGGATGAAATGACGCCAGAGCAGGCCCCCCGGGTTACGTGGTCTTGAATTTCAAGCAAATCCTGCGATATCCTGCGGTTTTGGATCCAATCCATATGGCATTGAACAGGTGTATAGCCTATAGCATTTAACAAACTTAACAGCTGCTTGTCAAATCAAGGTGTTTAAACTGTTTGTTTCCAATCCTTTCAAGACATTTTTCAAGTTACCCTATTCACCCTACCCCCAGTCGCAATCTTTGCCCATCCATGGCAGGCCGTGGAAGAGGTGAGCCCAGTGCTTCGTGCGGGAGCAGAGGTGAGCAGCGATGGGGGAAGGCTTGTAGTCACCACCTTAGCACCCAGATATCACCCAGATGAAAATAGGGTATATTCCCAATTATAGCCATTAATAGGGATAATGATCATTAACCATTGGGTTTTGGGGTACACTATTTTCAGACACACCCATATGTGGCAATCCAAGTGAAATCAAGTGAACACGATCATCATCTTGTAATTTTGTGCTGATCCCGCAACTTGCAGGCAAACAGCAACGCCAGGCTATCCACACGACATCATGCTGAACCTGGAAAGCATAGAGAGCCTGAAACGTTTGCGTATCTCAAAATTGGGGCTGCTCCAACTCCAGCAAACCTCATCAATCTTTTGATATACACACACACACACCCATCTTTGGTCGGGACTTGCAGCCAACTCTTAGCGTCCCAGCGCTGGAGGCGGTGGCAGAGTCCCTCGCAACAGGAAAGCCTTTGAAAGACACCAGGCGGGGTTGGGGCCAAGAGACTTAGCTTGGACCAGCTGGAGCGTTTGTGAGCCAAGAACCACAGGAGGATCCCCAATATTATGAATCGTTTTTATTTTTATGAATGATGTTCTACTGATTTCTATTGCATGTTCCGGTTTGAAAGGACTTGACATGCTTGTGGCCATGACTTGAACTAGCCCAAAAATTGGTGACAACACAGGATGGTGTCTCCCCGCCAAAAATCCATCAAATTTGTGGGGTCTAATCCTGCCACTCGACGTCCTCGTCTGCTGACCCGCCCCGCAGCTGCGTATCAAATAGAACCTCCCCTGGCTGCCGTGCTACCTTTGAAGCAGCCCGGGGCGATGGAGAAACAGCCATGGTACATGCCATTCTTTTGGCCCCTGGGCCATGTCACCAAAGCTTTGAGGTTGTCCGTAACCTCTCAGGCGCTCGAGCCTTTGCAGGCCTTGGAGGGGTTGGGAGTTGTTGCAAGGTGGGTTTGGGGATGTTGGCTCAACATGAGATGCGGGCAAGAGAAGAAGTTCATGGATCCAAAACGGCAGTCTAGAATGGTCTAGATGATACCACAAGCCACATTCCCAGTGATGTTCAGTCTGTCCAAGGCACATACTGTACTCAGCACACTTGGTCATACTGGGCCATTGGCTTTGTGGTCCCCTTAGCCCTGAGGCGACGCCTGACTTGGATTTCATCGGGCATTTGACCTCTGTCGTGGCATCCCTTCGTTCCTTCTTATTGGCCTACCTGGCCATCACAGCCACAGAAGCTGGGCAGGAGGGACAGATGGTTGCGGATCTTGCGGTGCAACTGATGAATGATCGATGACTCGATGACCGTTGATATTCCACGTTTCCATCCTGTGAGTGGATCCCCACTTCACAACTCGGATATCTTGGGATCCTGTGAGCTCAACATGGAACCAAGATGTGCCAAGGATTATCCTGCTTTTGGCGCTGCCAGCCAGTGGAGCTTCCAGTGGATGTGGCCCATTCTGCTTCGGAATCTGCTGGCCACTTGGGTGATCTGTGGATTCTGGGACTGGCTCCCTGGCTGCAAAAACTCTGCGGTGAGAGGTAAACATTGGGATCACTTAGTCTTATTAGTCTTAGTTTCGCTACGAATCAATATAACATGTATGAACTGTTGACCCATACGGATACCCACTGGGAGCAAGAGTGTTCACTCAAATGTTGCATTGGGAACTGCCTTTATCAGGTTCCTGTACTTGTCTCCCATGAAGGAGGCTGGGCATGTGCAATCCATTTGGGCTGCCAAAACAATTTTCGCTTTGATAGGTGAATCGTCACTATGTACCATTCACACAATCGTATTATTTTGTTTCAAGATGTAATGTTTGACAATGATCTTTGATTGCTCCAAGCGCAACACTGGGTGTGTGTGTGTGTCTCATCTGTAAAGATGTAAAACTTCGGCTTTGGTTTTTCACTAGTTATGCAGGGGGCCAGGAACCCATCACTGTCTGTCCTGGCCAACGAAGACCAGACAGTATGGGGGTGAAAACGTACCTGCAATTTTTCCTCGTGATGGGACGTGGCTAACCCGAGAACCACCAAGCCGTTACTCAAACAATTTATTTTACATGCGGTTAATTCTTCACGGTTGCCACAATCTGTATTTTCGCCGAAACCATGTCGCCGAGATCATGTCGCCGATGCATCTTTGACTATTTTGGGAATCCATCGCCGAAACATCATTATTTTTTGGAATTTCAACATGCGGGTCAAACGTTGTGGATTCTGGTTGGAACTCTATTTGACAATATTGGATGCTCTACATCGTTTTCGTGAAGTACCTCAAGGGGCTCTACTGTAAATCTAACGATCTAGGCTGGTTTGCACGTTTCAGGATTCAGTTCCTGCCGGATCATATAATGATCCTTTCTAATCTAGTGTGTGTGTGCTTCCAGGGTTGCTAAACCCAGAAGCTGACAGGTGCTGCGGCCTTTCAAGATGAACCCGCTACTTGGACTTGGACTTGGAGCTAGCTTCATTTTAGTGTGCGTGTTTTTTCCATTTTCTGGTGGTTCCTATACTTCAAATAGGGAGCCGCACTTTGAAAAGACAGGGCGTCGCTGTTGCCTCCAAATACTCCAGAAACTTTCATCCATCTTCATCCCCTGTTTTTTCTCATCTTGTTTTTTTGTTTCTAAAGGTTTTGCCATCAGCCCATCTCCACAGGAAGTATCCCCCAGTGGCCCAGCTACGGCACGACGCCGTGGCCACCAGCGTCGCCAGCTGCTGCGGCACTGCGGTGGAGATCTTTCTGTGCCGCGCCTGGGCCACTGGGCAGCTGGCCATGCAGCCGACCCTGCAGGAGGCGCCCTTGTGGCCCCTGGGACTGAGCAGTGGGAGAACCCACTGATGGTTTTTCCGTAGATTTTCCATAGATTTTGCCATGCGTTTTTCTATTTACTGTACTATATTCACTCATAAGACATTGTAAGACTCATGGTGAGACAATTGATATTTCATAGAAGTATGAATATGGAAGGGGCCAAGTCCAAAGCCACAAGATACCCTTACTGTCAATGGGTTGATGTAAGATGATGGGAGACTTATCAGGAAAGCGTTCATTTAATCCCCAAATACTGTATAGGATCAACCAATCCTGGGAGGGGAACTGCGAAGTGGAGAGGGAAGTGAATTCTGTCGCTGGGGGACGACAGCATGTTTCCGGCATCCCAATTCTGTCGGATCAAGACTTTGGGGCCCGCTGGGTTTCCAGTCGTTGCAGGTCGTTGCGATGTGCTAAGGACCCTTTTTTGGGCTGCCACGATTGTTCACTGGCGCATCCCTCACTTCTACTTGATGCACAGGGCGCTTCATCCGTGGAGGACCGAACATGACACAAGCGGTTCGCGGTCACAAAGTGATCCCAATGGGTTGCGGATTGAAGCCATCAATTTGTGGATAATTATTGATGAATGATATGAGTGATATGAATGGACGTAAGGAGCAAGAGGGATTTGCATTGATTCACAGCTTCAAAACAAGGATGCGCGGCTCGAACTGATAAGATCGACTTGGACTTGGAATCTTAATTTCAACGATTTCATTGGTTTGCTTCAGCACAAAACCAAATGGATCTGGGAGGTGGACTTTTTGGATGTCCTGCGCAGAGGATCTGTGTACTATCTAGCTGTGCAATGAGAAAGCTTGGAAGTTTGCGAGTCTCCACACGGGATCTAATCTGGCATCAAAGAGGGTATTCTATGTATTCTGCATGTATAATTATAATTAATTATACAGATACATAATTACACCAAATTATACCAAATTATACCAATAATTGGGATTAGATGGGATTAACACTTTCCAACACATGTCCCTGGTCGAACTTCTCCTGTCAGGACTACACACGTGCCCGATGTCGGCAAGTTTCTGTACCGCCACGTGCACGCCCAGCATCACAAATCCTATTTACCCACGGCCTTCTCTGGGACCAACATGCATCCAGTGGAGGCACGTCCTGAACGACAACCACTTGTTGATTCGGGGCGGATCCAAACCGTTTGAGGTTGGAAAAAGTGGTTCTTATTCTGGGAGGAATCTGTTTTGAAGACAATTATTTTCATCAAATGTGCATGATTGCGTGGTGGCACTTGTAACCCATGGCCCATGACTGCATCCAGGTTATTGCATTTACGGCATGTTTTTTTTTCCCAAGTTGGCCTTTTGACCGAGAAAGCATCCCACATCCGTGGGGATGCAGACCACATGCATTCTTTCTGCACCGCCTGAGGCAACTCTCTATTGTCTCATGCCCTCGCTGTTTATGGCCCCTTGGAGGTGATATATTGGATGTCACCGTGTCGCCCTCCCATTACTTCCATTCCCCAGTGCGTTGATGACCGCTGATGTATGATATTTGTGGGAATCATTTGACGGAGTGGCCATCGGAGGAATCTCCAAGGCATGCCTCCGTTGTACTGTTATATGGATATATGGATATTTATATATATATATATAGTAGCCATGTGTAGCCGTTAAAGGTGGAGGGCGGCCCCGGCGCGTGGGCTTTAGAGTCTTTAGAGGTAAGAATACCTACTCATATTCAAATGAAGAATTTACAGGTTTTCCGGCTTTTCCGGCTGTCTTATTAGCCGCCGGCCTTTGTAATAGCGTTTGTTACCGCCATTTGCTGCTCACCAAGCCACGGATGGAGGATTCCACCAGGCTTCCAAGGTTGGGGCCCAGGGGGGGTTCCAGGGTTGGAGGGTTGGAGGGTTCCAACCTGGCAGGGTTCCGGGTGGGTTCCAGGGGTGGAGTTGTTAGGTTGGGCGAATCAAGATGACTGGGGTGAGGCAAGTAAGATTCGAGGCCGGGAGAGGATTGGCTAGATGAATTGAACAGATCATATTGAAAGTGGCTCCAAAAGTTTCCTAAACAAAATCAAAAACGTCATGTGCTGCCTTCACTTTTGTTGTGAGTCCATGATGGGAATGTTGGGGCACCTCCGCGAAGGTTTGTGATTTGTTGAGAGGCACTTTTGGGATGCTCTTTTGAGAGACTTTGTGAAGAGATTTTGCTGTGCCTAGATAGACCTAGATAGCATTTTGATGTATTATGGAATTTCACACCAGGTTCCTGCTTTTGAGGATTGTTCTTGCTTTGCAGAGAAACGTGGCTTGGAATATGGATATTCAACCCCTAAATTAGTTTCGGATGTTTCGATTTAGAACCATGCCATAATAAGCCCAGATGGTATCCCCAACAGCAAAGGTGGTGCGAAAGTGTCACAGCAACCAGTGATCAGTGAACATCGAATTAATTTCAATCACCGTAATCCACACCAGAACCCACCAACCCAACGAAAGCCAAACCCCAAACTGACCCGGAACAACCATGCACATCCGGAACCATGCACCATCCGAACAAGTTCCCGCTGTTGGGGAATCATTGAATGAATAAAGCATAATAAAGCTATGATTTAGCAACTGTGGAGAAGGTGGGTGGCCTCTACAAAATCGGTTGTCATGGGTATCTACGAGGTCTTGAAGATGCCAAAATACCAAAAACTTCCAATTTTACAAAATGGGTATGTGGTATTGTCATGGTTTTTGCAGTGGCGTTGAAGGCAACATTTGCTTGTTGTTTTGTTCGAGGGGCCAACCCTGGATCCTTATTTAGTAGAAGATTTGTTTGTGCTATTTCAGCTCAGGGGCACCCCGAAGAAACCTTGTATGTTTTGATTTTGTGTATCTAAAGGTTTGCTGGTCAAACAGCACATTTTCAAAACTTGTAGGGGCCGAACTTGTGTTTTGGGGGAGGGCTTTCTGGAATGTGACTACACAATCATCGGTTACAGAAAGCCCACCAGGGCAATATTTGGGAGGAGATTGTCCAATCGGGCTACTCAAAGTAGACTTCCATTTTTTCCAAATAGCCAGAAAACTTCATCATAGATTGGTGATAAACATTTCTCATGATAGGAATCATAACAGTGGACAGGTGGTAAAGACTATGCGCGGAATGGGCCATAGATTGATTGCGAAAAACAAAATCTGCTGGCTTTCGTTTCTCCTGCTTCAGGTACTGCAATGTAATGTACAGTAATGCAATGCAATGCAATGCAATGTACATAATGTAATGTAATGTAATGTGATGTGATGTGATGCGATGTGATGTAACGTAATGCATTGCATGCATGCATGTTTGGTAAGCTTGGCATGTTTGGCATGTCAATGTACGGCATGATATATCATATATATATATTATATTTATATGGTTTGTACAGTACATGTTGCTTCTTTGTGATGTGTTTGATATGCATGTAGTGCATGAAATACATGTAATGCATGAAATACATGTTTTGCATGTAATGCATACATGGTATGCGTGGATGTGTGTATGTAATGGATGTATGGTATGTATGTAATGCATGCATGTAGTGCATGCTATGTATATGATATAATAAGTAGGGCTACCGCCCTGGTGCCGCCGACCCGGAGCATGGCGGCAGAAGGGCGGAAGGCGGCACGCCCCTGCCCGGTCTGAAGGCCTAACATCGCTTTCTGAAAATGGGTCCAAAACGATTTCAGAAGCAGCCGCCAGCTCCGGAAGGGCTGAAGGCTTAACGTCGCTTTCCGAACGGTCAAACAATAATGCCAAGAGCAGCCGGCAGCTCGGGAAAAAGCACCCTTCGCCACGCTATTTAAACAGTGAAGGACGGAAGGCTTCTCGAACGGCAGCTAGGTCGTGCCCATTTGCTCGCTTTGAAACGCCCATAGACCAAGGTTCAAAAGGCCATATATCTATACATCCATGCACGCATGTCTGCATGCATACATACATACATACATACATACATGCATACATGCATACATGCATACATGCATACATGCATACATACACATACACATACACATACACATACACACACACATACACATACACATACACATACACATACACATACGCATACATGCACACATATACACACATATACACATACATACACACATACATACACATACACACACATATACATACACAAACACATACACATACACATACACATACATATATATACATACATACATACATACATACATACAGACATACATACATACATACATACATACATACACATACATACATACATACATACACATACATACATACATACATACATACATACATACACATACATACATACATACATACATACATACATACATACATACATACATACATAATCATACATACATACATGCATACATGCGTGCATACATACATGCATGCATGCATACATACACACACACACACTTACATACATACATACATACATACATACATACATACATACGTACATACACGCACACATGCATGCATGCATGCATACATACATACACACACACATACATACACACATACATCCATGCATGCATGCATGCATGCATACATACATACATACACACACACACACATACATACACACATACATCCATGCATACACACATACATCCATGCATGCATGCATGCATACATACACACACACATACATACATACACACATACATCCATGCATGCATGCATCCATGCATGCATGCATGCATGCATGCATGCATGCATACATACATACAGACACACAGACACACAGACACACAGATATCACATTACATTACATTACATTACACTACATTACGTTACATTACATTGCATTACATTACATTACATAGACAGACAGACAGGCAGGCAGACAGACAGACATACATACTTTTGAAAACATGCGCGCATTGAAAATGGCCACATCTTCCAAGGCCTACATGTTGCGTCTTCACCCTGCCATCCCGTTGGGCTGCATGATCGATTGCGCTGTTGGGGCCTGGCTTGGGCATGATGGTTTTCGATGGCCGGGGGCTGGAGCCCCTCGATTTTTTTTTCAGGGTTCCACTTTTTCGTGGGCTGGTGGCTGGAGTTTTTCTTGAGATGGAAGGGTTGAGGTTGTGGCAAATCTCAACCATTTCTTTGAACTGGCAGTGGACCTAAATCATGCTGCGTAAAACATCGGTTTATTTACTTTGGAAATTTGTGTGCTTAGTGCTTAACATGATCAGCATAGCCGGGAAACTTTGCCAAGGACTACTTCCATCAGCTTCATCATGAACACTTTGATTGCAACTATGGTGCGCAACATGTACCCATTGACAAATGGCTGGGGACCTATTGCGGCAGCAAGGAGGACCTAAAGCAGCTTGGCCTGCAGAAATTGCTGGTGTAGAGTAGTCGTGCAACAAATTGGGACCATTGTTTTGTCCACATGGGGATGGGTGAAAAAGACCTCTAGGACATCAAATCCATTTGCCAATTATTTGGCGGTTAACCAGGATCCCACAGATCCATAACTAGTTAACAACGGTTTTGTTGTTTCAGAAAAATTGGAGAGTTGAACTGCCATGGGCAGTCGACAGGAATCTGCAATCGATCCACCAGGTTCACCTTTGAAAACCAGTTGCTGCCAAATTGGAGTTCAAATCAACAATCATCCAGATATTGTTGAAAAATACACTGGCAATCACTGGCTTCAGTTGTGTGGAATTGATGCTGGTGGAATTTCCTTTAATTCCTTTGGCCATGGATTGGTCTCTTCCCCTTGGCTCGAACGAGTGCAGCTTCAGGAAAGTTTGGCACAATGCACCTGCGGGGAAATCCGCAAACCTTCAGGATACGTCTGTTTGGACTTGCAAGTGACGCAAGTGGCGGGCTGCTGGGGCAAGATTTGAGGTGGGTGAAGATTTGAGGAATATTCTTGGTGTCACAGAGTGCTAAACTCTCCAAGTTACCGGGGTTGCACCAATCATTGACCCATATGCCTAGACCCATATGCCTAGTCAGTGCCATATGGACGCGGACCCATCCTGTTTTCAGGGCTGGCCATCCGTGATCCTGCGTCCTTGGTAGGGAAACTATCGCAAAACAGCTGTGTCAGCTGTGTGAGATACATTCCAGATATTGTGGTTTCCATGAATGGGGTACCCCAATAGCCGGATGGTTTACAATGGGAAAACCTACTAAAATGGATGATTTGGGGGTACCCCCATGACTTAGGAAACCTCCATACTGTGTGTTCATCATTCCCCAGCTTAGACAGATCAGGGCAGAACTCATGCTGTGGCCATCCGCGCAGCAGGGGAAAAACTATATACTGTAACTAAGCCAACTCCAAATCGTGACTGTTGATTACCATCTTAACTGAATGCAACATTTTGCAGTCTTCCCACAAACCCGTCTCATTGTTGAGTTCCTTCAGATTCAGTGATTGGCTAAGTCATCTCCTTGTTGACTTGCGGATACGGCCAGTGGTTCACCAGGCCAGGGAGTTTGTCCCTCTGGTGTCTTAACCTGGCGCAAAGCATGTGGCTGCGCCAGGGCTAGACGACTGCGCTAGGGGGTTCACAAGCAACCCCAGAGACCTCTGAAAAGGAGTTGTATTGCTCGCCATCCTGTGCTGCCTTGGAAATCGTTTCAGGATATCGAAACCAGCCGGTCACCGGTCCCTGTACTTTTACACTGAAGAAATACACGCTGTAATTTCTGTTTATTTTCTGTTGAGTCTTTTGTTCCTACCTACCAGCAACATCAGCCAGGTTGGCCGTGCCACTCGAGCAGGCCTTCCTGGCGGAAAGCCCTGATGCCAGCGAAGAAGCGCAGGTGCGCACAACTGGCCGAAACCGTCTCGTCTTTTTTTGGAGCCACAAATGGCTGCTCAGTTTGGGAAGACCATACACTGTAATGCACGTTTATGCACTTATTGGATCTTTTTGGCAAATCATGGTAAATCTATGTAAACATGATAACATGTATTTTTTATCCAATTTTATGATCTACCAACATGTGGTAAATTTTATGCATCACAATCGATTGGATCTTTTTGACTGTCGGACACCAGGCCCGATGCCGAGCCATACGCGAAGCTTTCGCTGAGGTGGCGGGGTGCAGCTGGAACAACCCCTGTAATTGATGGGATATATATTATATTGGAATATTAAGAAAGAAATTTGGGCACGGTATATGACTGACGTATGTTGACGTTACCAAGAAAGTGAAACCAGCATTCAACATGAGAGTCGCCAACAAAAACGCAGGTGCCTTGCTGTTTTTTAAAATTTCCAGTGAAAATGACTATCCTGGTGCCAAGGCTGTGTGATTTGAGTCTGGCCATTGCCCCCTGAAATGAAAGGAATCCACGTATTTACCCCACCAAGTCATCGAGTGAATGATCCAACTTGCACGCTGCCCTCTGTTCTGTTGGCTTCAGGAGCTGGAAATGGCCGTGAAAGCGGACGCAGCAGCTCAAGCACAAAAGCTCATATTTGAGGCAACAGCTTTCCCTCAGCCTGCAGAGCGGCTTGGGGGGTGGTCCATGTTGAATTGTTTCATCCCTGCTGATGGAGGAGCTTAGCGAGGTGGATACCCGCCCCGTCCTGCGTGTGGAAGTGAGAGGCACCGCAGGCCAGGTCCATGTAAAGGTAGGCGCCTGGGTGGATTTGGTGATGGGAAATGGCTTTCAATTTCTATGTGTTTGATGAGTCGTTGTAAATGTGCGCTGCATCAACCCTTGAGCCATGCCAGCAAGTGAGGACACAAGGGTAGAGTGAAAGATAGTGAAAGTTGGCATTTTGGTCTCACGTCTTGATTCAAAGGCCAGGTTAGATTCTTCAGGGCTGACACAAGCAAAAAGCGGGCATTTGCCATATAAAATGAACGAATCTGGGTAGAATCCATCACAATTGCGGCGTGTTTGTCTCTTCTTTAGCATGTTTCCGTAGGGGAAAGCATCCTGGGCCACCCATTGCGACAGGCAGATCGCTCATCGACCGTGCTGTGGCAGTTGGATCCAAGCCTGAGTGCGATGTGCAGGTACCCGTGATGCTACTGCTGATGCTGGTGAGAAATCCTCCATGGGAGTACTACCCCATCAGTAAAAATCTTTATTTTAATGAACGATCCATCCATCAGTTTTAAATTGTACCATCCAAAAAAGTGTCCGGCAAACATGGCGATGCATTATTCATTGGTCATTCATTGGTCATTCATTGGTCATTCATTGGTCATTCATTGGTCATTCATTGGTCATTCATTGGTCATTCATTGGTCATTCATTGGTCATTCATTGGTTGTTATTGTTGGTGTTGACATCTGAATTCACATTTTTGCATATTTTTGCTGGTTACGGCCTTGGCTACAGGGGGCTTTGGCCGCCTTTGGCCACTCATGCTAGGTCTTTGGTGACGAAGGTGTTCGACCCTTACAGCCCCTTGTCCCACATTTTGGGCTCCAAGCAGCATGGCAGCCACTTGGGATTTCCATGACGCCAGGGCGGGTTCCCATGGTTGCATTGGAAGCTTTTGTACCGGCACATGTGCGCGTGCAAAACACGGGTAGTTCTTGTAATGTTCTTGTATCAGGAGATGGTTCCAGGAATTCCTTCATAGAGGGTGGGGTGACCATCATAGTGCATGAGGGGCTTCTTGAACCAGGGAAACCCAAAAATCATTCAAAACTATCATAAACTATCAAAAACTGGTCATTCTCATCATTCTCATTCTCTATCCAATTTTAAGAAGCACCCTGACATGTTTCATCGGGACACAACGGCCGAGGTTCCTGGTGGTGTCCCTCTCTACTTGCACGGTCATCGCCGATTTCAGTGGAGAGACCTGTGCCACATGGCGCAGCAGCATGCGACAGCACGAACACAACGGTCTGGGTGTACCAGGTGCCTTGTGTAGTTTGCAGATGAAAGGTACAGTAGCCCCACATGGTATGAAGTTGAACGGGGAAAAGAAAAGTAATTTTAAACAGGTAGTTTGGAGCAGCCTGAAGTGCAGTATTTTAAGACAAGCCTACAAATCAGCAGATGCCGTGTGGATTCATCATGATCCAAACACCCCTTTGCCCCGATCATGCCTTTCCAGGCGCGACATTTATGATTGCGCCAGGGGAAAGAGATGCTTGGCTGAGCATGGTCGGTGCAGGTACTGGTATGTTTAAAACCAAAATATCGAGAAATGGGGCCCCACCAAAGTCCGCCAAAATGGTTTGTATGAGCTGAGAAACCGATGGTGGCTGACTTCACAACTTCACGGAAGCAAGTACACCTATGCTGCCTATCCTTTCCAGTCCCATCGCCGAAACTCACTCACCCTGGCACTGAACATGAATTGGGAACTTTAAGAGAAGCTATAAGAGTCTACAAGATCTATAAGAAACTTTAAGAATCTTTAAGAGCATCCTGACAACACTCACTAGCCTCTCTTTGTCCTTGATTTCCCAAATGGGCTACTCCAAATCACCATTTCATTTCACTCTTGTGGGTAAACACATGTAACAACCATTCAAATCTTGGGGTATCCCAAAGTTTAAGGAGCCACTCATCAAAGTATACACACTCCAAGTTCGACGGAAGCACAATGAGCTCTCTATCTCTCTCTCTCTAATATATATATATATATGTAAACATACACATTTTATGTGTCTTGTTGCTTCTACAGTTATGATTCAAAGGCTTACGCCTGACAGCCGGGCGCCGGCCAAGCAATCTTGGCACCATGTTGGCCCTATGTTGGGCCTATGTTGGCCTATGTTGGGCCTATGCTGGCCCATGTTGAGCCTTCTTGATCTTCTTCTTCTTCTTCTCCTTCTTCTGCTTCTTCCTTGCTTGCTTCTTGCTCGCGCAGCTTGCTCCCGCTCCTTCTTTGTTTTGCCTCTTGCTGCTTGCTTCTTCCTTTCTATTTTTTTTTCTTCTTCTTCTTCTTCTTCTTCTGCTGCTTCTTGCGTGCTTGCTCCTTGCTCGTGCAGCTTGATTGTTTTCTCCTTCCCCTTTTTCCCGAGAGCGTTTGAGCGAAGGGTTCTTCTAATAGTGGGGGTGTGTCAAACATTTTCACATCTTCACATCTTCACTTCACATCTTCTCATCTTCACATTTTCTCATTTTCTCATTTTCACATCTTCACATCTTCTCATCTTCACATCTTCACATCTTCACTTCACATCCTCTCATCTTCACATCTTCACATCTTCTCATCTTCACATCTTCCCATCTTCACATCTTCTCATCTTCACATCTTCACATCCTCACATCCTCACATCTTCACATCCTCACATCTTCACATCTTCTCATCTTCACATCTTCTCATCTTCACATCTTCACATCCTCACATCTTCACATCTTCACATTCTCTCTTGCCCTCTTGCCTTCTTTTCTATTTCTCTCTTAAGGCGCGGGGCAGTGCCAACGAGATGGCACGAAACGCAACCCTTTCGCACGAAACGAGGTTCGATCGCCAAAAACTGCGGTGAAATTACGATTTTGAAGTGCGAAATGAGGTTCGATCGCCAAAAAAATAAGTGAAATTGCGATTTTACAACCTCGGCGGCAACCCTTTCGCACAAGATGAGATTCGATCGCCAAACACTGAAGTAAAAATTGAAGTGTCGGTCGCAACCCTTTCGCACGAAATGAGGTTCGATCGCCAAAAACTGCGGTGAAATTGCGATGTTACAACCTCCGCGGCAACCTTTTCGCACGAAACGAGGTTGGATCGCCAAAAACTGCAGTAGAATTGCGATTTTGAAGTGTCGGTCGCAAGCTTTTCGCGCGAAATGAAGTTCGATCGCCAAAAACTGCAGTAAAATTGCGATTTTGCAGCGTCGGTCGCAATCCTTTCGCACGAAATGAGCTTTGATCGTCCAAAACTGCGGTAAAATGCGACTTTTTCTATGACAACATGGCATTGTGTTTGTGTGTAAAAGCTGCTGTGTGTAATCAGCTTTTGTGTGTAAAAGCTTCCCTGTGTAAAAGTTTCTCTGTGTACAAGGGTCTGTGTGTAAAAGTCTCTGTGTGTAAAAGTGTTTGTGTGTGAAAGTGTTTGTGTGTAAAAGTGTCTGTGCGTAGAAGCTTCTATGTGTAAAAGCGTCTGTGTGTAAAAGTGTCTGCGTGTAAAAGCTTCTGTGTGTAAAAGCTTCTGTGTAAAAGCGTATGTGTGTAAAAGTGTCTGTGCGTAAAAGCGTATCTGTGTAAAAGTGTCTGTGTGTAAAAGCCTCTGTGTGCAAAAGCGTCTGTGTGCAAAAGCGTCTGTGTGTCAAAGCGTCTGTATGTAAAAGCGTCTGTGTGTAAAAACGTCTGTGTGTGAAAGCGTCTGTGTGTAAAAGCGTCTGTGTGTAAAAGCGTCTGTGTGTGAAAGCGTCTGTGTGTAAAAGTGTCTGTGCGTAATAAGCTTTTGTGTGTAAAAGCTTCCGTGTGTAAAAGTTTCTGTGTGTACAAGGGTCTGTGTGTACAAGGGTCTGTGTGTAAAAGTGTTTGTGTGTAAAAGTGTTTGTGTGTAAAGTGTCTGTGTGTAGAGGCTTCTATGTGTAGAAGCGTCTGTGTGTAA